GTTTGACTCCTTCGGTTCGGCAAATAGACCAGTCTACCCAGCCAGGCCAGGGGGTTTCTGTAGTAAAATATACACCCAAATGTACAAAATATAATATGTATATATGTTTATGTATGTATATGACTGCATTTTGCAAACAACTGACTTGAATGCGTCTTTTTCTGCAACTGCAGACATCGTTGGCACAGAGCTTTTGACTTTCCATATGAGGATGGGTCAAAACCTGGAGCCCCACATTATGAAGCTTGACCTCTTAGGTTGGTCAACCAAGGTATCCTGGTTTCGACCCAGAGCCATGTCTTTGACATGACATTTGGTCAGTTAGTTAGTCATTCGCCGCGACGTCATCCTCACCGACGGGTGACACCGACGAAAATTGTCCAACAACTGGGAAAGCTCGCACGGGGCAGCGCTGCAGTGCTGCAGGTGTTTGCGACATGTTTGGCTCTGGCCGGTGCCAGTCTCTCAGTGAATTTTGTGTACTGTGCCAGTCTTTCAGTTGTCTGTGTAGGACGTGTCTATATATTCTGTGCGTATCGGAGGGGACACCCAAACTCTCATCCAAACTCCGAGGTCCCTGTGATGATCATGGCAAACTTTGGAATGCATTGGAGATTTGGAATTTATGCAACAGGGCCCAGATACTCCCAATGGGAGTCAGCTGACAAGCTGAATGTTCGACTCTCATGAGGTGAGACGCTTTGCTCATTATCTCGCCCTCCGGCCTGAGAAATGAGGAGGAACCAGCAGCCACCCTTCACAGCGTGTGGTCGATGCGCATCGTGAAAAGGTTTCTGCAACTTCTAAGGTCGCCTGTCTCGTGTTTGACTGCTTCATTTTATGTTTGTCTCCACCTGAGCTGTTGTTTCTTTCGCAAAAAGAAAGGCATCAGAAGAACATAAAGGAGTGTCCTAGTGCCCTTTGTTTTGCATCAGTTCAGATGTCGATGAGTTCTATGCTCCTGCAACAAAAGAGTTTCTGGGTTCTAATCTGGTCCCAGCAACAGGTGGATTGATTCACTGTTAGAGCCATGAGGAACTAGCACTCGTGTTTAGTCCAGGTTGCGAGTTGTCACCTGTTTTGTCTGATGTATATAGATGCTGATAGCTTTTGTGCATATGAGTGAAAGAATGTGAAGAATTGTTTAAGGAAATAGAAGAAATGACCACTCCTGAAAAGTAGGCAATCTTCTAAAATAAACAGGTCTGAGGCAAATAGAAGATTGATATTTTTGCATTTGTTACATGTTTGTCAGTACTAGCTTAAGGAAGGAAGGAAGGAAGGGACGGATGGACGGACGGACGGACGGACGGACGGAAGGAAGGAAGGAAGGAAGGAAGGAGGGAAGAAAGAGGAAGGAAGAGGAAGGAAGAGGCAGGAAGAGGAAGGAAGAGGAAAGAAGAAAGGAAGAGGAAAGAAGGAAGGAAGGAAGAGGAAAGAAGGAAGGAAGAGGAAAGAAGGAAGGAAGAGGAAAGAAGGAAGAGAAAATAAGGAAGGAAGAGGAAATAAGGAAGGAAGAGGAAAAGGAAGGAAGAGGAAAGAAGGAAGGAAGAGGAAAGAAGGAAGAGGAAAGAAGGAAGAGGAAGAGGAAGAGGATGAGGATGAGGAAGAGGAAGAGGAAGAGGAAGAGGAAGAGGAAGAGGAAGAGGAAAAGGAAGGAAGAGGAAGGCAGGAAGGCAGGCAGGCAGGCAGGCAGGCAGGCAGGGAGGGAGGGAGGGAGGGAGGGAGGGAAAAAAGCTGTTCTTTCCTTGTTGTAATTTGTTGTAATTATTTTCAACATTTGGCCTTGGCTCCTCTCTTTCTCTCCCCTTACTTCTTTTCCTCTGGCAAATTTTCGTGGTATGTTCTACGCCTAACCTTTCTTCGTCTCCGTTACGTTCATATTTCTCTTTCCTATATGCTTTCTTGGCTTTTCCCATGTCCATCCTCTTTCGTTGTTCCTTGTTAAACTTCGCTGGTGCGTATAGAAGATACTCTCCAGTCCCTTCTTTTCTTTTCGTGTCCTTTCCTCCCTCTCCACGCATGCCCTGTCCTTTCCTTTTTCTTCCCATTTCCCTTCCCCCTTCTTATTCCTGCTCCTTCTCCTTCCTCCATTCACCCTTCCCCTTCTCTTTTCTTCCTTCCACCTTTCCTTTCCTTTTCTCTTTTCTGCCCATTTCTCTTCCCCCTTCCCATTCCTGCTCCTTCTCCTTCCCCCATTTTTTTTCCCTTCTTTATTCTCCCTTCCACTTGTGTATCCTTGCCTTTATCTTCTATTTGAATTGCATCCGGCAATGCTCGACCTTTTTCATTTTTCCTCTCATTTTGTTTTCTTTCCGGTTTCTTGTTGAACTGCGCTGGCGCATGGAGAAGATAATCTCCAGTCCTTTCCCCTTCCCTTCTTTTCGTGGTCGTGTCCTTTCCTTCCTCTCCACGGTTGCCCTTTCATTTCCTCCTTCTTCCCAATGTCTTTTCCCTTCCCTTTCCTGAGCCCTTTCAGTTCCATTTTCTGCTTCCTCCCTTCTCTCTTTTCCCTTGCCTGATTTGCTTGTCCTTTCCTTTATCTTCTATTCGAATTGCGCGCGGCAATTCTTGGCTGTTTTTAAATCCTCTGACATTCCTTGTCACCTGTCCTTTCATTTTGTTTTCTTTGCTTGTTCCTTGTTGAAATGCGCTGATGCAATCTCCCGTCCTTTCTCCTTCCTTTCTTTTCGTGTCCTTTCCTTACCACGTCTACCCTCTCCTTTCCTTTCTTCCCCCTTCCCTTTCCTGACCCCTTTCCCTTCCGCCTTCTCCATTCTCCATTCTTCCTTCCCCCTTGCGTATCCTTTTCTTATCTTCTATTTGAATTGCGTCCGTCAATTCTTGGCCGTATTTGCAACTCCTGACATTCCTTTTCACCTTTCCTCTCATTTTGTTTTCTTTTCTTGTTCCTTGTTGAGTTGC